TGGTGCTGATGATGAATGGTTTTTTGCACGCACGATGATGGTGCAAACATGGACAACAAGCCACCATAGTGGCTTGCTGCTTTGAATGTCTGCGTGGTTTGCTTGAGAGAGAAGAAAGGTCGAAAAAGCATTTTTTTGGTAGCTAAACAAGTCCGCTTAAAAACAATACCTGATATCACCCAAATGTTGATTGAATGTTTTTATCATATCATTGAGGTGCAACAATGAAATTTGGCCTTGAACAAGTTGGAACCAGATTGCTATTTTGAGACAACTTTGTTCCAATACTTTTTTGAATTCAAAAGAGCTTATAAAAATACTGTTCGAAGCCGTCGTAGCTCAGTTGGATAGAGCACAGGACTTCTAATCCTGGGGTCGTGGGTTCGAGTCCCGTCGTCGGTAGACTTTTATTCGGGAAATTGAAGTTTTCACTCTTCCTCAATTTCAGCCTTCATATCGGAGAAGACTCGCTTTTAAAGTTTCTGACCCTCATCATGATTTTCTTCAAAAAAAATGACCTCTCGACAAGTCCAATCCAAACTTCCTCCTCTTCCTTCCCTCCGAGAAATTTTGAAGCTGTATGGTCTGCAAGCGAGCAAACAACTCTCCCAAAACTTTCTACTCAATCTGCATGTAACAGATAAAATAGTGAAAGTGTGTGGTGATATCTCAAAAAAAACAGTGGTGGAAATTGGTCCTGGACCCGGAAGTTTAACCCGGTCCATTTTGCAAGCAAATCCGAAACGATTAATTGTTGTGGAAAAGGATGAACGATTTATGCCTGCTTTGCAAAATCTTCAACAGTCTGTAGAGGAAGACAAGATGCATATTGTACAAGGAGATATATTAAAAGTGGATCAATACAAATTAATGGATCACTTTTTAGAACCTGAAGAAAAGATTGTAAATCATGAAGAAATTGCAAATACTGTATTTATTGGAAATTTACCATTCGGAATTGCCACACCGTTATTAATTAACTGGTTAAGAGATTGTGCAAATTGTACGGGAGCGTTTGCTTTCGGAAGAAGAATACCCATGATTTTAAT